GAATTCCAGGCCAGCTGGGGCTACAGAGAAACCCTGTCTCAAAAAGACCAAAAAAAAAAACAAAAAAAAAAAAAAAAAAAAAAAAAAAGCTCAGCTGGGCTACAAGGAGACCTTGTCTCCAAAACAAACAAATAAACCCACAAAAACAAAAACAACAACAACAAAAAACAATGTTGGGGTTATATACTATATTTCACTTATATAACATTCTCAAAATGACAAAATTATACTAATGGAGAACAAAGTAGTAGTTGCTGAGTTAGAAAGAATGGAGAGGAAAGGTGTGAACATAGCAGGAACAGATAGGGTAACCTTGTGGCACTGGAACATCTTGTTTATTTATTGACAGTAAACAGCTTATTACTGTGTGCACATAAGGCACACTGCTAACCCCACAGCATGGAAAGGCCACATCAGGCCCAGCTGCTGTCAGCTAATAGCCTCACCCAGGAGAAAACTTGGAAATCTAATGAGACAGATAATTTTGAAGCATCCTCTACACACAAAAGAAATTTATACTTACACATACATAAAATATAAAACACAAAATAAGAATAGGCCTGGTGCTCTATATGAAAATATCCAAAACAACCAAAAAAAAAACCAGGAGTTGAACTTTATTTCCTCAATAATGTACTACAGGTTGGGACAAGTGCATCCCAGCTTTCCCTGGCTGGGCATGTGCAGGGGCTGGCCCAAGCTCCTCCATTCCTTGCTGTTTTCCATGGCCCACTTAACCCCACGGGGTGCTGATCCCACTCAGCTCCCACCCAGTGGAGTTGATGATCTCCTTCACCTCGTGAAATTCTCAGACCACCTCCTCTGGGAAGCTGAATTTTCCTCTTGGCCTGAAGTTAGCTCACCTCCTCACTGAGGCTTCTTCTACTTTCCTGGCTGGTTGCCCTTCTATCAGGCATCAGCCATTGAGGCTCTGCTGGGACTTGAGTCTCTAGATGAATCTCCTGGTCACTATACTTTCCTTAGCTCAGAGATCTGTCTCCCAACTGATGGGATTAAAGGTGTGAGCACCACATCTGGCCAGAGCCACCTTTTGAAACATCCACGTATAATCCCTATCCCATCTTAAAACCTGTTTTTTTTGAGACAGGGTTTCCCTGTAGCACCAGCAGGTCTGGAATTCACTGTGTAGACCAGGCTGGCCTTGAACTCAGAAATCAGCCTGCCTCTGCTTCCTGAGTGCTGAGATTAAAGGCGTGTGCCACCACGCCAGGTTACTTAAAACCATTTTAACAGTTTTCTGTGACTCTCACAATAAAAGTTAATGTGTGGTCAAAACAAAAACGCGACTCTGATGTGGCCCCTCTCCAGTGTCTTTCCACACCTCTGTCTTCCACTAAGTCACTAAATCACACTCATATTGCTCACCTCAAAACAACCAAAAGTTTTGCACTCTTAAAGCTTTTGCACAACCTTTCCTTTTATAGAGAAGGCAGTGGTTTCAAATGTGACCTCCAAACTTCAAATCATAGAACACTGAATTTTGCTGCCTTTGGTAGGCAAATTGAGCTCCTTCTCACAGGGACAGCTCTGTAGTGCAAGCAAAGAGCTGCCCTACTGTAGACCGCTTCTGGATCTTCCAAGCAACACCAGGAATGCTAGCTAATAAGCAGCATATTTATTTACAGTGTGCTGGGACACTTTATCCTGAAAACGACCACGTAGGGGGCAGACTAAGATCCTAGTCCCAATTCAGCCTTTAGGGTGGTCAACATTCCAGGGAGGGGTGTATTTACAAGCCAGATCGCTCTTGACCTCTACCCAACACTGCCTATCTTCCAGGCCATAAATACTATGAAGGAACCCTGCAGATCGATAGCTCCTGGAGTCCGAGGCTGGACCACACCATCCAGGCTTCCTCTCACGTCAGGGACAATCGAGTCCGAGCGTGGGTCCCGCTCCACTCACCTTTGATCGGAGCAGATCAACAGCGCAGGCGCCTGGGACTGCCAACCGCCACTCACTCACCTGGTGCTGGCTTGGCGGCCACCGCCGCACAGGAGTCTGGGTCTCCCCGACGCCGGCCCGCACGTTCCGGGGAAACTCCCAGGGAAGCGCCCCCGGGGCCATCCGCAGGCACCGCTCAAGTAGCGCAGGGCCGGCACCATGACCCGCACCACCTTAGGTACCAGTGGCCACGGTAGTCCTGCATCGCAGGGATCCAGCTGAGCTCCAGCCCATCCCCCAGGCAGCAGCCAATGAGACGCGCGCTTGCTCTCAGGTGGGCGCGGCCTCCACTGGCCAATGGGCGCTCGTGGCAGAGGCCCGAGGGCGGAGAGCAGAGGCCGGAGGGCAGGCCGGCAAGCCGCAGAGGCGGGGGCGCTCGGCGGTTCCCTGCTACGCTGTAAGTAGGGAAGCAGGGGCCGGGCAGCCCCCGGGGTGGTGGTAACGCTCTGCTGGTGGCCCTCCGCCCGCCCGGCCGACCCGAAATCCCGGGCGCGACAAGCCTCGCGAGTCTTTGGCTTTGACCGCTTGACAGACGAGGGCCGCGGGAGACCGCAGGAAAAGGTCTGGGCGTGACGGGCTGGCTTTCTGGTTCCCGTAGTCTTTTCTTCGGCCACGCCCCTGCTCGGTTGGCAGCTTAGCCAGACAGCTGGCAAGGAGGAGCCGGCTACTGGCCGGGCGTTCCCTAAGGACTGGACGCTGTCAGCCACAGCCGCACCGGAGAGCCTGCAGCCTTCGGGGTTCTCAATGGGGTGTTGTCATTCATTCTGCTGTTGTTCCGGTGCGGGACTGGGCACTGGGTACTGGAGAAACCATTCAGCTCAGTCCTTCTTATCATTCAGTCCTGTATGTCCTTAAATACTGGACCGAGATAATCCCCTGGAACTGAAGTTAGGATGGTGGTTGGCCACCATGTGGGTGCTGGTAACTGAACTTGGATTCTCTGCAAGAGTTCTTAACCACTGAGCCGTCTCTCCAGCCCCTGAGATAAACTTTTTGATGTCCGTGTTTCAGAACATCCACTCAGTGACTAGGTCACTTTACTCTTTTTCGTTATCTGTAAAATGAGAGCAGTGGGCTATGTAATCTCTTAAAGACCTAAATACTATACGTAAAATTCTGTATAAAATTCTATGATTTCTTGTTACTGGCCCAGTGTAACTAAAACAGAATGATATAACTTAATTGCTGGAAGGACTAGCCCAATTGAATGTTGGTTCCCGTCATTAGGTGGGTGCCATTGAGTGGACTATGAGAGAAGATTCAGGAAAGCATCAGGATTTTTTTTTATTATGCTTGAATAGTTTATCACATAAAGAATAATAGACATTTTGGTGTATTAGTAGGGAAAAACATAGATTGTTGCCTGCTTGTTCCATTACAGGTGGATAACATGGATGGTTGTATTTTAACTTCAACCATTTATTTTGTGATAACTGTAGAGTCTCATGCGGTTGTAAGAAATAGTGTGTTGGGCATACTGGCCCATGCTTTTTTTAATCCTAGGGCACCTGCCTCTGCCTCTTGAAGAATGGGATTAAAGGCATGTGCTACCACTCCCGGCTTCAAAATTTTGTCATTTAAGAATGTACAGAAGCTGGAAAGATAGCTCAGTGGTTAAGAGCACCCACTGCTTTTCCAGAGTGCCTGGGTTTGGTTCCCAGCACCCACATTAGGTTGCTCACAACCACCTATAACTCCAGTTCCAGGGGATCAGGCACCCTCTGGCTTCCGTTGGCACATGTGCATGCTCCATGTGCATAAACTCATTCAGGCCCACACGTTAATAATAATAAATCTTTAAAACAAAAAAAAACAGTTACACTTATGTAATTTTGTTGCTTATAATTTGGGGGTTGACCTTTTGCTTGTAATCCTTTGAGAGTCATCCAAATTGTTGCTTGTAGTGCATTCCTTATTACTGAATAGCTTTCCACTACATTATCTTAAACCATCCCCCACTGAAAGGCATTTGAGCTGTTCCCAGTTTTTAAGTGTCATGAATAAAGCTGTTATGAACATTAGTGTACAGCTTTGTGTGTGAACCTGTTTTCATTTTTCTAGGACAAGTGTTCAAGAGTCTGATTATTGGGCCATATGATAAGAACTTGTTTAAGTAATCACCACTGTTTTCCTATGTGACGGTACCACTTTAGGTTCCTACCAGTCATGTTTGAGTAGTCCAGTTTCTTCTCATTGCCACTAGCATTAGATGCTGTTACTGTTTGTTTTAAAACCATACTGATGCCAGGTGTGGTAACGGAGGTCTTTGATCCTAGTGCTTAGGAGGCAGAGGCAGGTGGATCTCTGTGCGTTCAAGACCAGCCTGGTCTACATAGTGAGTTCCAGGCCATCTGGGGCTACAGGGAGACTCTGTCTCAAAAAAATAAAAATATTAAAAAAAAATTTTTTAATACCATACTGATACACGTGTAGAAGAGATGGTGTGCTGGATAGCTTTGGTGTCAACTTGACACACCTGGGTTGGGGAAGCCTCAACTGGGATTCAAATCGCCTTCATTGGACTAGCCTGTGGCCATGTCCCTGAAGCACCTTCTTGGTTGTTGAGTGATGTGGGAGGGCCCAGCCCACTGTAGGTGGTGCCACCCCTGAGCAGGTGGGCCTGTGTTGCATAAGAAAGCAGGCTGAGCAGGGGCCAGGGGGAGCAAGCCAGTAAGCAGCATTCCTCCATGGCCTGTGCTCCAGCTCCTGCCTCCAGGTTCCTGCCCTGAGTTCCTACTTTGGGCTCCTGGATGAACTATGACCTGGGAGATGTAAGACAAATAGATCCTTTCCTCCCCAAGTTGGTAGTGATTAGTGTTTTGTCACAGTGATGGAGAGACAAACTGAGACAGATGGTTAGTTTTTAGTTTGCACAGGATACATAGTTGGTTCACTATGGTTATAGCTCCATGGTAGAGCATGAGGAAGAGCAAGATCCTAGATTCCATTGCTGAGGGAGTGGGTCTAAGGTAAGAAAGGCTATTATAGACCCCAAGAGGCTGTGATAAGACTTTTATGGGCCAGTTGGCCCATAGTTATACTTTTTGCCTTTTTTTTTTTTATTGCTATGTGGTTTTTAGCATGTGTTTCTTAGTTTACTTAGGGTGAAAGAACTCAGAATATACATGTTATTTAAAAATTTTTTTCTCAGCCCTCCCCCCAAAGTCTACACGGTAGTTTGAGTAATTTCAAATGCCGTATTTTTTATTTATACACACTCTAATATCTGTGGGTAGAGACATTCTTATTGCTGACCTCAGTCTTCTCAGCTGAGAAATCATGTTCACCTTTTGTCTAGGCAAGAACCTGTTAGTTCAGTGAGTACCATTTGATTGCCTAAGAATGATTTGGGGAACTTCTCTTCTACTTCCTAATGAATTGCTGTCAGTCTGTTTCAATTGATTCTACACGCCTCAAGAGTAATAACTGTAATCAACAGTGGGTGGTTTACAGTGGGCTAGAGTTGCAATTAGGGGAACACTTACCCATTCTGATGCCTCCACCTCTCTCCACCCTATTACCCCCAAGAACTAATTCAGCCATTTTGATCAACAAACTAGCCATCATTTGAATAGCCTATTCAGCAATTACGTTTAATATATAACATAACTTTGACTATTAAAATATTTTATGCAAATGAGGAAGTTCTATAAAATTATTCAGAAAACACATATATTTTATGCATATATATATATATATATCTTTTTAATAACAGGTTAGAGATCTGGCCTCTCACAAGTACTGTTATAACCTTATGGCTCCTTTTAACAATACATGAAAGTGTGTTTTCTTTTTACAGTTTGAATTGCTGGATTATTTATATCATCAATCACATAGTGATAACTATTTTCTAATTTGCTTTTAATTGGTTTAATGTAGTAGTGTCACACCAGCTCACCACTAGAGGTCTCCTCTTTCCCTGTAGAAAGCATTCCCAGGGTATCTACTCGGTTTTAAAAAGGAAGAGTTCTCAAATGTCAGTTAGCAAAGTTACAGTTGAGAATGTCAAAGCCCATCATTTTTTTTAAACTTTTATTTCTAAATGTAAACTTAATTTTCATGATAAATTGTTTGAAAGATAAAAATCTCACGTTTTTAGAGGTCACAACTGAAGGAATCCCACCCCCTTAAGCTGAATTATAAAATGGACCAAAATGAATCAAGCAGAATTATTCAATTTTTCAAAGAGTTTGCCATTTCACCCACTTAAGAGTTTCTCTGCACTGGCTTTTAAATTTTTTTTGCATCTCTTTGAGACAGGATCTCCCTGTAGCCCCGGCTGGCCTGGAATTATGAAGACCAGGCTAGCCTTTTAACTCACAGAGATCTGCCTGCCTCTGCCTCCTGAGTGCTGGGATTAAAGGCTTGCACCACCATCCCCATCTTAAAATTTTTCTATTTATGTATATGTATGTGTGTGTGCATGCCACGTGTGTGCAGGTACCTGCATAGGCCAGAAGAGGACGTCAGATCCCTTGGAGGTGGAGTTACAGGTCACTGTGAGCTGCCTAACATGGATGCTAAGAACTGAACTCCAGTCCTCTGGAAGAGCAAAAAGCACTCTTAACTGCTGAACCCACTCTTCAGCCTTGGTTTGATTTTTTTTTTTTTTAATGTGGATAACCAACTGTTGAAGTTAACTAATTAACAGAAACTTGTTAGACTTTGGCATTTTGTTGAGAAAATGGAAATAAGACGTGATCATTGTTCTTTTTGCGCTACATGCTTTTTTAAAAAAAAATCTTCCTCACTGTAAACTTTTTTTCTTTTTGAGACAGGGTCTCATTGTGTAGCCCTGGCTGACCTGGAACTCACAGAGATCTGCCTGCCTCTGCCCCCTGAATGCTAATTACTGTTTAAGGGCTATTTCAAAAAATCTATGGTACGAAGCCTTCCCCTCACTCTCATTTCCATTTAGGCTTTCTTGGCACTGTTCATACCTCAAGATACCATATTGGGTAATATTTATCTGTTTACATATCATCCATCTTCTCTATTAGACCACACATTCTATGAGGATAGGAAATGGCTCTTTCTTTGTACATGTTGCTGTCTCACCATTGCTACTTTTCTACTAAGTCTAGCAGGCATCCAATCCAGTGAGCATGTGTTGAATGAATGAATGAATGAATGAATGAGTAGATGAGTATGACATTTGAATAAGAGGTTGGGTAAGATTTCTACAGACAAGGTTGGGTAACAACCTGATTAGCGACTGGGAAAGCCCAGGTTTACCAGTGAAATTGGTAGTCAAGTGAGTGGTTAGAGTTGGCCATTGGTGGAGAGAACTTTGCCAAAATCTGGAAAGGGCTGAGAATGTGGGATACAGCAGGGGCAGAAATTTGTGGCAATGAAGGCAGTCTTGATAGAAAGAATGAAGAGGGAAACCGAGAGGTATGGCTGGTTGAATGGTGGGTACTTGTCTAGCATGGACACGGCCCTGTGGTCAATTCCCAGCACTGCCAAAAAGGGGAGGGAAGGAGAGAAGAAAGGAGAGAAGAGATCAGAAGGAGGATAGTAGATGTTCTCTAGATTCTGTCCTCAGGCTTCATGTCTCATTGCCTCCGTTTCCTGTCATGTTCTCAGCTTTAAAGTGGTTCCCACTCACATCTTTCTAGTTTTCTTTCTCTTGAGTTCTAGAACCATCCAGTGATGGAGAAAAGGACCCTGGATTGATAGGAGAGAGTACTGGATTCAAATTTCAGCATTGATACCATTAACCATGAAACATTGAGCAAGCTTCTTTAAATGCATGCATTTATTAATGCACCACCTTGTTCCAGAAAGGATTTAGAGTGTCAGTATGTTACTTCATATCAAGGCATCAGTTTCCTCATCTCTAAATGAGAGGTTTGGTGCAACTGACCTAAGTTCCTTCTAGCTCCAACACTTTGTGACTCTTATTCCAATGATTTTGTTGGTCATCCTCACTTAGGAGTTCTGCCAACATTTCATATTCATAATAGGAAAAACTGCTGGGCATGGTGTTGCATACCTTTAATCCCAGCACTTGGGAGGCAGAGTCAGGTGGATCTCTGTGAGATCAAGGCCAGCCTTCTCAACATCAACCAAAAAAAAGAAAAGAAAAGAAACCTAAGCCCCTACAGCTTTGTTCTCCCTGTTTTGTATGTGTGTGTGTGTGTGTGTGTGTGTGTGTGTTATTTCTGTGTGTGTACATGTATGCATGAACGTAAAGGTCCGGGTTAGTGTTGAGTGTCTTACTTTTGAATTAATATTTTGAGACAGAGTCCCATTGAGCCTGGAGCTCACCAATTTAGCTAGACCAGTTGGCCAGCAAGCCCTGGGGATCCTCCTGTTTCTACCTCCCAAGCACTGGGATTACAGGCACTTGCCACCGCAGCAGACTTTTTACATGAATGCTGGGGATCCAAACTCAGGCTTCATGCTTGTGGGCAAGCACTTTACTGAGCCATCTCCCCAGCCCCCAGTCCCATATACGGTTCTGACAGTGACATGACCAGTCTACCAGTGATCCAGGACTAAAACTTAGTAGCATCTTCAGCTTTTCTAGTCCTTGCCTCCGCATCTTCCTTCCTGAGCCATGTGAAATACAACTGATGTTATTTCTGTGATTAGGTCCTTTCCTTGAAATCCTTGTTAGCTTTTTTGTACCATTCTGTCCTCCAAAAAAAAGTTTAAGAGTTTAACTGTACTGCCTAGGCTTACCCCAAATTTCTATGCTCAAGTGATCCTTCTGCCTCAGCCTCTGAAATAGCTAGGATTATAAAACCATAATATCTGACTTGACCTTCAGTCTTTTTTCCTTAACCTTCAATCTTTTTCTAATTTTTTTTGTTAATTTATTTTTATTTTATGTCTATGAGTGTTTTGCCTGGGTGTATATAAGTGCACTGCTGTCATGCATTGCCCTCAGAAGTCAGAAGAGGGTGTCAGATCCCCTGGAACTGGAATTATAGATGGTTGTGATCCGCCACGTGGCTGCTGGGAAGCAAACCCAGGTTTCTCTGCAAGAGTAGCCAGTGCTCTTAACTGCTGAATCATCTCTCCAGCCCCTAAACTGTCAATCTTGATGCTGCTGTCTGAGTAAATTTCCTGAAGCGCAGCTTTAAAAATACCAGTACTCTTCTAATATCCATGTGACTCCCAACTGTCTCTACATTACAGTCCACATTTCCTTGGTGGGCAATGCAGGACCCTATGTGACCTGGCTGAATACAGTGTCTGCCTCTTCTTTTCATGGCACCCATTTTCTAACCAAACTGATCCATAAGACTTAAAAATTCCTGTCTCAAGCTAGGCATAGTAGTACTTGCCTTTAATCCCATCACTTGGGAAGCAGAGGCAGGCAAATCTCTGTGAGTTTAGGCCAGCCTGGTCTACATAGTTCCAGGCCAACCAAGCTACAGGAAGACCGTCTTTAAAAAAAAAAAAAAAATCCTACCTCAGCTAATAACCTATCATAACTTTTCCTGTTTCTTTGTTGTAATCATCTCTTTCCTTATTTTCGTTCTTTCAAGGCATTAGTTAGGACCCCATTTATTTTAGCTACTTGGTGACTTGTCTTAGACCATTCCACCTTGCATTAAATTATCATTTCCTAAAAGACAGAGGCCACATTTATCTTTCAAGTCCTAATCCCCATACAGGGCATGCTGTTGGAGAAACTTAAATTGAGATAAATCAGTAGTCACAAATTCCTTTCTTATGGGCGATCATCTGAACTGGAAATCGTCTCAGAAACCATCTTTTACAAATGAGAAAACCCAGAGCCAGAGAGGTGGATTATTTGCCCAGTCTTCCTCCCTCAGCTGCCTTGCAGAGATTTTTGTTTGTGCTGCTCTAGTGGCAGCATTTGTGGCTTCATCCCAAGTAGATCTAGTTTCATCTTTCCTTTCCCCGCCTACATGGAAACGTCTTAACCTTGCACCATTGATCCTTAAATGTCATTTTGTTATTCAAAATGTGGATTGGGAGTAGAGCTGGTTTGAGGAAATCTGCACTTATATTGCCCAAATGAACACTAGGTGGCAACACTACAGACTCCAGTTGAGGTCAAACTGAAATTTAATGTAAGAAGGAACCTCAGACATTGTCTAGTCCCACCCATCATTTTGCAGCAAAACAAGTAATTAAAAAATTCAGGAATTAGAGACAGAAGTGAAGTAGTAATTGTTGGGAGACAAATGAATTATCATGTTTATTGTCACAAAAGTCTTGACCCTGAAGTTGTGTAGTAAGTTACTAGATGTATGGGACTCTGGTTGCCAGCAGATGACCTAATGTGAGAATTGTTTTGGGTATCTAGATCAAATGATGGTGCTTGGAAAAATTTCGAGGCAGCTGTGCAGCTTAAAGAAACTCCCATGGTCATGTGACTCCAGATACTTCTGGGAATGGTTGAATACAGTGTTTAATAAGTAAGTGACTCTAATTAACTGAGTTAGTGTGGGGATGTTCACAACTGTGGACGGGCTTCCCATGGCTAGTTGGTTATTTCTTGTGTTTTGAATGATTTTTTTTTTCTTTTGAACAGTATGTGTGGTATGATCCTAATTTTTTTTTTTCCACAAGCAGTAAAATGTGGGTTGGGGGGAACCTGAAAAATAGTTCACAAAATATTGTGCTTGTCTAGGTTAGAGACTATTAGTGGGGTTTTTTTGTTTGTTTGTTTTTGTCTTTCGATGTCTTTCAAGTTTTCTAAAAGGGTTTTTTGGGGGGCACGCTTTTTGAGACAGGGTCTCTCTGTAGCCCTGGATCACCTGGACCTTGCTATGTAGCCCAGACTAGCCTTAATCTCACAGAGATCCACCTACTTCTGCCTCTCCAGTGCTGGGATTGAAGATGTGCATCATCATGCCCAGCCTTAAAATGAATATGCATTATTTTTATACCCAAACAGTACATGTAACTTTGACATATTTTGTTCTCTAGCTTCTAAGGAATGTCATGAGCCTTTTGATGCTATCAGGGGAACCCAGTTTTTATTTTTTTATTTTTTTAATTAAAAGAAGCATTGTATGCACATATTGCCTGCATATAGGTAAGTGCACACATGCCATGCAATGCCCTCAGAGGTCGGAGAGGCTGTCAGATCCCCTGGGACTGGAGTTACAGACAGTTTTTACTGCCGTGTGTGTTCTGGGATTTGAACCGGGGTCTTCTGCAAGAACAACCAGTGTTCTTAACCACTGAGCCACCTCTCCAGCCCCTATTTTTATTTTTTTAAAACTTTTTATTTATGTATTTTGTATGTATGTGCATGTTTGCCATTTGTGTGTATGTGTGTATTGGTGTGTGTATGTGTGTGTGTGTGTGTGTGTGTGTGAATGTGTGTGGGGGGGGGTATGT